CTGACTGTGAAGCAGGACAGGGCTTACCATGCCTTGGGTGATTATCTGGGATCATGGGCTGGTCATGGAGCTGATGCTGGACCCAGTCAGAGTGGCATTGGTGGGCACTGGCAAAGCCACAGCAGTGCCCACAAGGAACAATCAGCTTTTTCCACCAGGGAAAAAGCTCCAGCTCCTGTTGTGTCCTGCACAGTTGGGTCTCACAGCCACAGCTGGAGTGTTTTCACAGTCCTGCAGAGAACTCAGAATGGCCAGAAGAAGCCTGGATCTGGCAGTGCTTCTCTCCTGGCTGTACAGAACCAAACATTTTCAATTAGCAACACTTTTCTTTCCCCCCCAGCATAACAGCTGAAAAGCAGGGTGAAATTCATTCTAAAGTATATGCATTAAGCTGAAGAGGCTGAATACACTAGGGCTCAGCCTGCTGCAATAAAAACTGATGAAAATGAATAATTGAATAATCAAAGAGGAATGAGAAGCTGTTTAAGTTCTTACTGCTGCCAAAAAAATATCAGCCAGGAAGGAGAGGTTAAGCCTCTTGTTGGCTCTTTGCATTCCACTTATGGAAACAAGTTTTCTAAAATTTAACAAAAATAAATCTAAGTCTTTTACTAATTGCTTTGTTCAGAAACTACAAAAAACTCAAACATATGATAGATTCCAAGAGATATGAGAATTAATGGAAACAGATATTATTTTATAACAATCGCCCTGAAAATACATCCTTCTTCTATCTTTTTTCTCGTCTCCAGTAGGGAATTACCAACACCTGGCTGAAGCCATATTTTTTATTTGTAGCTATTTTGAAATCTTGGTGGATATGTCAACAGTTTAAAAGAAAAGCTTGTTCAAACAACAAAACATATTAGCTGCCTTATGGCTGGATTTTTAAAAATCACACTTCTATTCACAAAGGGAATGGTCATCTGTAAGGACAGGGAAGAGAGATCCTTTAGAATGTGGTTTGGAGCAGAAATAGAAGTCCACATTAAGAGGAGGTCACTGCACACTAAGGCAGCTACAATACCCAGAATATCTCTCAAACAATCATGGACATGGGGAACTGGAATTTCCGGACAAAGCCTGATTACTTTTGCTTACTTGGAAGAATCAGCTCATGGAAACTCCACCATATGAGCTTCTGAAGGAGGCCATGATTCAAGATAGCAGATGGTTAGTCCGTTTTATATTTGTGTTTTGATGGGAGTGGCAGGAAAGAAGAAGTTTGTCCTTCCTATAACCCGGACTTCTTCCAATACTTACTAATGTATTAAGCTGAGGAAGAGTCAGAGAGGCAGCAAAGGTGAGATTGCTGTCACCTCCTTCATTTTCCTCACTTCTAGATCAAAAGTTCCCTTACACCTTAATTACAGGCAAGGGTGAGCCTGATATTAAGTTAGCATTCATGAAGCTGTTTCCAGGAGTTTTCCTTAACTATCACATTTCAGGACACTGAGTTTCAAAAAGCAGATGCTTGGCTTAGTTTCAGCTCTCACAGAGGTGCTAGCTCAACTGCCTAGATAATAACATGAATTTTGAGGAAAATAACAAAAAGATGAAAGTAGTCAAGTGAAAAAAAACCAGCTGATATTTCCATATTCTGTAAAACTTCAGCTGTAACAGAGGCTTAGACCTTTGACTTTAGTAGCTGCCTCACACCAAACTTGCTATCTTCATTCCAACAAAAATATAAAAATATAACACTCATGAGCAAGAGTTCTTAGCACTGTAACAAAGTCTGTGCCAAAATTAGAGATGTTTTTCATGAGCACACCTCCCACTCCCTTCTCTAGGACTTTGCTGTGCTGGTTTCTGTTTTGCTTGTCTGATCTAGAAAGAGCTCCGAGAGGCTTCCCAATCAACAAGGAGGAAAAGTTTTACACAGTTTCATCACAAGTTCAAAAATCGGTCTTGATTTCCTCAAGAACATATACAGCCCCAAAAAGATTGTATCAAGAGGGATTTCAGTGCATACCTTTCTTGTAAAGGTATTTAATTTATTCTCCTTTCAAACATGGGACAATGATTCCTATGCAGGCAGAGCAACATTCCAGAACTTCTGTCCCTTGTCAGCTCTATGATAAAATTAATAACTATGAATATTAACAAATCATCTGGCCAGCCTGAACCAGCTTTTATTGAAGATGAGCTGCAGTAGCTTTCAACCTGGCAGATTTGTGCAGCTTTAGCTACACTATCAGGGAAATTCAGGGACTGGCAGTGGAAACAGAGGTGCTGCAGGAGGGAATTTCACTAACAAATATTAAGATTTCAAAAGACTTCACTAAAAATATAGCAGCATGAGCAATGAGCTCCCTCCTGAAGCTGGATAAATTCTTAGGCCCTTCCATGTAATGCTGTATTTCATATCAGTGATCCGACACATGGACTGCTCTCCCCCGAGATATCCACAAGGCAAGCTCCACATTCCAGGTGGATGGAGAGCCTTCACTCCAATATTTCTGTCAGGTAACAGCCACTCTTGTAGCTGCTTGGTTTTGTCTTTTTGACTGCTCTTGCCACAAAAGACTTGCAGGGCTCTCCTGCATCCCTTTTTACCTGCTGGGCAAAAGGCAGATTGCTGGCCAGCATTTCCATGGACTGACAAGTCAGCTGACACAAATTTTGCCCCTCAAAAGCAGCATTTATTTTTGTTTCTCTCCTTTTCTCAACTGCCAGTTTTCTGGAAGTTATAAAAAATTGTTTACCCTTGAAGTCATTACTTCCTCATCAAATGCCTTTGTACTGAGTGTGCTAGTTATGCTCACTAAATGTAAATGTGAACAGAGCCAGCATTACAGATTTCTCCAATACCAGCCACACATCACACACAGCCTGGGTCTCTCCTGCCCCCTTAATTCCTTGGAAGCTATCTCCTAGCAAACATCAGGACTGCAGACACCAGAAGGGACTCACAAAGGCCTCAGGCTCAGTCTCACAGAGGTGGGGAATACAACACCTCCAGATATCCAGGGCACTGGTTGAACATGAACAAGCCAGACCTTACCAAACACTGGACAGAGTTTTCCTACAAAAACACTTGTACTTCTAATCCAGTTATTTTCCCAACATGTGGCACAAATAATTACCAAGGGGTTGGAGAGCTGAAAGAAGAGGTTCAGAAGTGAATTCCTAAGTACTGCTAAAAATACCAAAAGCTGACCGGCAAAGAGGCAGTTCCCCCTACTCTCCCTGTTCCCTCCCACTCTCAAGGAAATGCTGGCATCCTGCTGAATTGCCATTTTTAGCACATCATAGTCCAACTGTTATTTTCACAGATAATGTAATCTATAAAGCACTAAAAAACGCAAACTTGATGCACCAAATAAAAACCATGCTGTCACCTCTTCGTCTCTAAGAAAGGCAGTTCAGTCAAATTCTGCCATAACGAGCAGCAAGGAAAATATTTTAATTTCAAATCCTTCCTCACCAAATCCCCACATCATAGATAATGCACTAAGGAATGAATTATCAAGTGATGTTCCATCAATGTCCTCTCTGTACTTTTAATGAAAACATGGAAGACAACATGGGCTACGATGTACATTCAGATTCTATTAGAACAACAACTAGAACACTCCAAAATCTCCACATTACCCTTTAGCATTGCCCTGTAATCCAATGAAACAGTGCCCCCTTTATGCTTGGAATATCCATATTCCAAAAGAAAATTTTTATTATGAAACATAGGTTTAAAAAGAAAAACACGACTATTTTTCCCCAGTTTCCTACACAGAGAGTTGAACTATTCATATTTTAAGAAGAGGCATGGATTTAGCTTTTTTAAAAAATTATTTTTATCTATAGAACTTGCAGCTGGTAGTCTACAAGGAGAGGCCTTATCAACACTTGAGAAGACACATCCCCCAAAACACTAGAACTTTGGAGACAGAACAGCACAGGAAGTTGTTATGGAAAGTTGATGACAGTTTTGTTGTTCCAACACCTTTACTAGATTCTCAGTAATAAGATAATAAGAAAGAGAACACTGATTTGGATTTTTCAAGTTAATGGTGGTAACATCTTGCAGCTTAAATTGCACCACAGACTGAGATGGGATTCTCCTCTTGTCCTCCAGTGCTAAACCAAAGCAAGCAAACAAAACAATTTGTCATTTCCACGGTGAGAGGACCATCTGCTGCCCAAGTAATAACCCAAAATAAAACAGTCCTTCAGGCACTGTGCACACTGACAGAATTCACCACTGCGAGCAGGGCAGCCTTACATCAGGCATGCCCCTCTCTTTTTCCTTTTTCTTACTGCCTGTGCAGCTTTTTGGTGCTCCCAAAGGCTGTTTTATTTCCCAGACTCTCTTTAAGCAGAGACAATCTCGTGTGAGAAGTACAAGTCTTTAAGGCTAACGTTACAATCCAAGCAGAAGAGCAAGTCACACACAGAGAAACTATTTTCGAAGCTTTGACTAATTTTAAATGACACTTACATTCATTTCTGCAATTTTCCTGCTATAAGCACATGAAGAACCTCGTTCTGCATTCCACTGAACCCCTCAAATACCCTCAACAGTCCACGAACATCTGGAGTCCAAATGAATACAGAATTAATCCCTAAGGCTGGACAGCAAAACAGGTCAGGAACCATCCCTGCTATGAAGGTCACTGTGGAAATCTTGCAGCGGGTCACTGAAATCAGGCTGCACTCCACTGCTGGTTTTGTAACATGTTTTCTTTCCAGACCAATTTGCCTTAACCAGCTCTTGCCCACAGTACAGCACTGGCATAGCTGTAAGAGCAATGACCTGAACTATCCTGATAAAACCTACAACACATAGGTCTGTCCATCCTCAGTAGCAAGGCATTCCTATGACATTCTAACCAGATTCTTAGCACCTTCATTCTCCCAAGAATCTTCAGAGGAGCTGATGGTACTCAGCTCCTTGGGCTTTTAAGCCCTTCCTTTTCCTCCCAGGGAGGGGGTGGAGGGGAGGAGGGGGTCAAAGTAAAAAAGAATAGAAGGAAAAGAAACAAAGTCAATGACACACATATGTTGTCCTACACACACACACACACACACACACAAACAGAGGAAAAAAGCAAGGAAAAAGTAAAGTTCTACAGGGTGCTGATCTGGAATGAAATGGAATTTGGAACAGATAGTCATATTTGGCACTGTCAGCAAAAGCTTATGAGTGGCCCGGTGACTCTCTGAGCCTTAATGCCCTTTTTATACTTGTCACTTAAAAACGTCCCTGGAAAGTTCAGCTGTGCTGCTTCTGACGTTTTCCCACTGCTGCTGAATGGACTTGATGGAGAGATACATTTCATCCCCTCCCAGTTCCATAAAGCACTAAACAATAAGGACATATTCCATTCGGCCTTCGAGCAGCATTTTTACGGTCCATGCAGATCCCTTTAAGAACAACCAACATAAAACAGAACTCTCTGTTGGAGAGCATGGAAATTAAAAACTATTGGATCTCCCAAACTGACTCCTACGATCCTCAGGCTGAAGGCTGGATTAGAGGGTCCTCACATGGTTCTAGCTGCATCCTCAGTACACCACTTTTATGGAGGAACCAAAGCTGTAGAAATTCCTCCGGCATGGCGTGGAATCCGGAGTCAGGCAGGACATTGTCATAGTAGTGGTGGCTGATAAACTTTCCGTGCAGGTCCACCGAGAACGGCCAGAAGCCATAAATTGTCACTTCCTCACACAGCCCCAGGGCGGCGCTGACCAGGAAAAGCCCCGTGGAAAGGCGCTTGGCGTGAATCCCTTTGCTCTTCCAGAACTTGCCGATGTCCCGCAGGAAGTTTGGGTTGGCAAAAAGGACCGCCTGCTTGGCCCCAAAATCCTCCAGGGTGTAGTAGACACGGAGGGAGGGTCCTGTCCCTGTTTTCATGGAGAAGGCTGGCATGTAGATGTAGCTGTGGTTATAGACCTTCACGCTGTCCACAAAGGCTTTTCGGGACCACAGAAGGTTCTGGAACCTGGAAAATCACAAGGGAAAACGAGTTGGTCACACACAGGTTTTTCCAGATGTTTCCTAATCCACCTAAGGGCTGCTCTTCATATCCATATTTACAATTCCCTGTACATCTTATCCGAGCCCAGACAAAGTCCAGACAAACTTCTGGCTGTCTGACACTGCCTCTCTTTTGAAAACAGACACATGAATAGACAGTTGAAAACTACCTGGTATCCTGCTAGCTCCAAAACCTTTCTGATTTCATCTTTTTAAAAAAACCCAAATGAACGCTGACAACATTCTGTAAGACTCAATCCTTCTTAGCAATATTTTTCATTGGTCCAAAAATCAACTTAGATTTTTCAGGTATGGGACGCTATAAAAGAAACTTTCAAACCTGTGTTGTTCGTGTTTCTTAAAGGCAGACTAAAATAAAAACCCAAGTTAGATTAGGAGGGCAAGTTATATGTACAGAATATTTCTTTTATATGAAAACAGCACATGACAATTTGTTTAATTGTCAACAGCTATTTGCTGATGGCTGTTCTATTCCTGATGTTTGACTGACAAACTACTCCACAACCAGTATCACGAACTATAAACTTTCTTGCTGTACGTTTCCTCCCCTTTATCACTTGACAATATCCAATATTCACAGTGTAAAGCTTAGTACATGAAAACCCACTTTTGCACAAGCCTCAACACACTAATTTCATTCCAGCTAGGCTGCTCCCCTGTGTGTGATCCCATTTTTTTCCTCAGCTCCCAAATGTCCGTGTTGCTGCCTCCTCTCTGTTTCCTGCAGCCCAGGCAGATGTGTCATGACTAATTCCCTAACATCAGAAGAGTCAGAACAAGAAAGTTAAGTCAGCAGCACTGGACTTTCTTTTCCTTTTCATTGTGCAGGCAGAAATAGTATAATAATATGTTTTTAAATGGTTATAAAGAGATCAATTTTATGTATAAATTTCTTTGAAACTGTAACAAGAATGACACAAACAGGCTTAAATAGAACGCCAGATGACCTCAAGAAGCATTAGATTAAATTTCAGCTGAAATGATTGGAAACAAAAAACCAAAAACCAAAACAAAAAACCAGCATTGAAATGTCTCCTTATATATGCCAGATCTTTTTGTAGTCTTTGTTTTGGCAAAAACACCCCTTCTTTTTGTTGTCATTTTTAATATTAAATATTTGGTTTCTGGATTTGCAAAATTTCCTGCACATGGTATTAGAATGAAGCTGGTTTGAAATCTGAAGTCTGTCTGGGTCTCCACTGCTTTTTTGCTCTGCAAATCTGCTCTTACTGCATGGTGCTATTTGCTAATGGAGACAGAGCCACTGGCTTCCAAGCAAGACATCAATTCAACCCCAACCTACAAAACAAAACCCAGCAATTTCATAACTTACTGTATTTAGCATTCTTTTCTAGAACCAGCCAGGACACAGCTTAGTGTAGAAGGTCAGTCAAGACCAAGGTGCCTTGGCAGAAATTCACTGAGTGCCTCTTCACATGGGCCTCTCCCTCCATCACTATCAGACCTATGACTGTTCCCCAAAATGAGCTTTACCAGCCTCTCTTCCCAAGGAGTAGCAGGACAACCTGCAGATTACCAGGTCCATGAGTTGACTCCATCCTACCAAGCCTATTTTGTTTCCATCAGGACACTGTCACTGAGGGGAAAAAAACAAATTAAAAAAAGAAACTTCAAGCTTAAGACTGTCAATAGTCACCTAAGTGCTCAGACCCCTAGTACCCAAATATTGTTCTAATGTCTCTAATCACTTCTGAAAGGTCCTAAGGCAAACAGCAGGCGTTCAGTCCCCATTCAGTCACTGGGCATTGCGGGCTCAAATTTCCTTCCACAGTAAAGGAGTGTTGAGTGAACAGCTGGATGTTGTGGGGTCCTTGCAGCTTGGCTGAGGAGAGGCCAGAGGCACATTCACTGTCACTCCTGAAGTACCATGTCCTTTCCCACTTAAAACTAGTCCACAAATTTTACTTCAGAGGGCAAATAGTTGTGGTTATTCTAAACCTGCATTTCCCAGCAAATTTATCATTCTTAGAAAAACCCCATGCAGCTCAGGATGAACACATTAAAATTCCTCAGTGTCAGAGGGCCAGAGACTGTGTCTGAATATTAATTTGCTATCAAATGCCACAATATTTGCAATTCTTCTGAATAAATCTCCCCAAATGCCTTAAAGTAACAAGAAGTGAACAACAGTGCCATGAGACTGGTGCATGGGAAGGACTCCATGCAGAAGGGACAGCAGCATTTGTCACCCTGCTGCAAACTGTCTTCAAGGAAGACCATTACTTCCTGGAAACCCATGCCTCATTCCAGTGACCTGGATGGCAGTACTGCTAGGTATCCTGCCCAGTTCAGTCGATGGACATTATACAGGTGGCCAGGAGGCCATGGAGAAACATAAAAAAAATGCTGATTATGGCTGGGCTGATGGTCTAACAGCCAAAAAAGCTGCTACCCACACTGAGCACCTCATGAGGGGACATATTAGAAAAACAAATGAAAATTTCTGTTCCCTGTTTCTAAAAATGGGAGTGCTCTCCAGCATTGTGACACTTCACAGGCTGGATAGAAGCTGAGAAACCTGGGGACAAATGCTGTGCATAAATGAGTTTCTGGAGATGGTGCTGGAAGCTCAAGTGTGTTTTCCTTTAACTCCCAATCCAGTCAGGGAGTCCTGCAGGCTTTGAAGGTACCATACCACCCCCATCTCAGCAGGCAGCAAGAAGGCTACCCCATGCTTGACAGAGACCAGGAAGGCTTTTCCCTGGAAGCTCTGCAGTGCCCACAGGAGCACGACAGTGTTTGTCTCCTGCATGTCCTGGCACAGACACTGCCAGCCTGGTGCAGCCCTTGCACCCACACAGGCACAAACGCCTTCCCTTGTGCCAATCCTCACCCAGAACGAGGAGCTGCTGGTTCCTGGTTAGTGCTGGCCTCTACTGAGCTTTCAGTCCTCTCAGTGGCACAGCCCAGAAGTTCTGCAGCTCCACCACACCCACACAGCTTCCAAAGAAATGCATCAAATGATCTGGTGCTTTGCACAGGAGTGCATCTCAGGTGATGTTATCTCCCCAGCACAGCCTGGAGCAAGAAACAGCTGAATTGCTTTCAGGGTCCTCCCCTGACCTTCTGCTAGCATTTGGATAAAACTGGAGCTGAAATCTTCCAAGCCCTGAGCAGCACCTGGAGACTCCACAAGCACTTGGGAATTTGCAAGTATGTGTTCCAGCAGCTCCACAGTCCAGAGAGGCACGAGTGACTGTGAATCCTGGTGAAAACAGATCACAGCAGGTCCAGCCCAGACACTCCTATTTCCACTGCACTCATCAGTGGACAGTGAACAACTCAAATAATCAGCACCACATTTTTCTATCAGGTTCCTATGAAAGATCAACTTAAAATCAGCAACCTTCAGCAGCATGTGGAGGCAGAGCTGCAAAGATATCCGAGAAATAATTTCCTTGCTACCAGCTAGAGAATTCCCTTAAATGCTCTGCTCTCCTTTTCCAGAGAGAAATATTCATCCAACAGAAAACTGCCATGGCACATTGTCATAACAGAACAATCAAAGACTTAAGAGCATTAAGCGTTTTGGGTTCTGTTTTTAATCTGTTTTTAATGTTCTTATTGATGTTCTTTAGCAGATATTCAGGGACAGGGCTGCTCTCTGGTACTGAGAAAGTTTTCAGTAACCACAAGGAGTTTGCTGCAGTGACATTGAGCTAACCCTCTTGCGGATAATTATGGCAGCATTCTCTTGCATCTTGGTTTCTTTTTGATCTCCCTAGAGAGTTGCTATCTCATGCCTGTGATGATATCCCAGGCACTGACTCTGCTGGCATCTGCAAAGTCACAAATTCAGCCTTCTGGATTAATTGGGAGTTGACTTATCAGAGGGAAAAAGTAAAATTATGTAATGAGGGGAACAGCTCAGATGCCAAAGAAATAGTGCATTATTTTAAAATTATGACATAGAACTCAAGGGAATAGAGCAGAAGGCGTAAAGACTTATGTTTGTCATGTCCCTATGACAAACAATAACCTCACAAAAACTGTTTAGATAATTTGATAACAGCATTAGCCAAGAATGATTTAGCAATTTGCTGCAGCTGTTGGACTCTGCTTACAGCTGGGGTCACAAGAAGTCAGCTTGCAAGTACACATCTGAGCCTCCTCTGCTGTGACAGAGTGTTGTACTGCACTCATTTCTCAGGTGTTTTTCAAACAGCAATGCCCTGCTTAATGCCCTGTGCCCTCACTCATATCCAGCTCTTCTTGATGATGTGCCCCTCTGGGGCTTGTGCAGAAAATCTTACTGACACACAGACTGTGTCTCGATTAACAAATTGTTTCCATGTGCTCGTTCCACATGTGGACACTTCTAGCATGCTTTAGGTGCAAGGGAGACTTTCTACTTGTCCACACAGGGAGTGAGAATTGAGCACTTAAAGCACTTTAAATGGACTCCCTTTCTTATTTAAATCCAGCTTTCCCAACTACACAAGCCACTGTTTACTCACCTTAAGTACAGATACCTGATTTAAGAATCAATTATAATCCCATGAAAGTCAACGGTAAAACCAACTCTGATCCCCAGTGTGCTGTCTAACCTCATTTCAAACACCTTCAGCAGGAGGGATTCTCCTGTTCTCACTGTGGGTCCCTCCACAGGCACCATGGGCACCCAGCTGAGAGCTCATGGCATGAGTGGGGTGATGCTATTTCAATATTTTCCTTCCCCTTTGCCCTTCTTCCCTGCTGGCTCTTTATGGATCAGATGCTCGCTCCTCTCAGGGGGTGACTGACTCGCAAACTCAGCCCAGCTCATCCTTTCTGTGCATCCTGCAGCCTGCTGAGGCCTCACACTGCTTCTTCTTTCTGATGGACAGGGGCTTCCAGCCTCAAAGAGCCTGTCCTTCTCTGTCCTCTCTGATACCAATATTCAAGGACAAATTTGCCTCATTCTCCTTTTCATAAATCTCTTGA